CGGCAACAAGCTACGATGCGATCAGTGCGGCGAGAAGCATGCGGAGGGTGCTTGTGGTGCTCCTCCTAAATGTGTTTATTGTTTGGCAACTCCGCATCCTCTTGCAGATTGCCTGAAGTATAAACAGCAAGGAAAAAAACTTGAACGGTCTCTGAAGCCGCGCTCTCAGCGTTCCTTTGCGGAGATCTTGAAGACTTTCAATCCTCCTCCCAAAATCACTCCGGAAAAAGAAAACAATAATCCGTTCAATCTTCTCCCAGTTGACGAGGACGACACTGACTCAGAGGGCAATGACGGAAGTCCTTTTGTTTTCAAAGGTCCTTCAAGGAAGCGATCCAAGAATGACTCGCAGAAAACTAAAAAAACTGACTCCTGGATAAATCAAGAGGTCACGGAAATAAACCGAAATCCAATCCACCGGGTTTTAAGCCTGTCGATTATGACAAAGAATTTCCGGGGCTTCCGGGAACACTTAAAACCCCAGTTGTCCCAGTTTCACAACCAGAACAGCAGAACGCCATGTTCACGCTTTCTGGAATTATGGACAGCATTCTCGATCTGTTCAACATCACTGACCCTCTTCGGAGCATCATTAACATGATGCTTCCAATCGTGAAACCTTTTCTGAAGCAATTTGCTTCCAAGTGGCCCCTCCTTGCTCCATCGTATCCTTCGATGGATAATTTTCCAAAATACGATACGGTATCTCTCCTACAATGGAATTGTAGAAGCATTTTTCCGAAGCTAGACGTGTTCAAATTCTTGCTAAGCAACCTGAATTGTGATGCTTTTGCTCTCTGCGAAACATGGCTTTCTCCAGACATCGATCTTTCACTTCACAGCTTTAACATTGTCCGTCTCGATCGTGTAGACTTCTATGGGGGTGTGCTCTTGGGGATCGACAAACGTCACTCTTTTTACAGAATTGTCTTTCCTGCAATGTCGGGTGTTGAAATTGTCGCATGCCAGGTGAATATTTGAGGTAAAAGCGTCAGTATTGCCTCGCTATACACCCCTCCGAGAACGGCTGTTTCTCATCGAACTTTATCGGACATCTGCTCAGTGTTACCTGAGCCGCGTTTGATCTTAGGGGATTTTAATTCCCACGGTACAGGCTGGGGAGAGCTGTACGATGACAATCGCTCAACCATCATCTATGACCTATGCGACAATTTTAACATGACTATTTTAAACACCGGAGAAGTAACACGAATAGCCAAACCTCCAGCAAAAGAGGCAGATTGGATTTGTCACTTTGTTCGAACTCACTATCATTGGATTGCATGTGGGAGGTAATCCAAGACCCCTATGGTAGTGATCATTTGCCCATCAAAATCTCGATCTCTAATGGCTCATCCTCGCAACATCCAATCAACATCGCATACGATCTCACGAGAAACATCGATTGGGAAAAATACGCGAACACGGTCCGTGGCGGCTCCGAATCGGTCGACGTTCTCTCCCCGTTGGATGAGTACTCCTTCCTATCGCGGCTCATAGTGGATTGCGCACTTCAAGCTCAAACGAAGCCAGTTCCTGGTGCTTCCATTCGTAAACGTCCTCCCACTGTGTGGTAGGACAAGGAATGCACCAACGCGAATAATGATAAGTCAGCTGCGTTTAAACAACTTCGTAAGCACGGTTCCTACGAATACTTTGAGCGGTACACGGCACTGGAGGAAAAATTTAAGAGCTTGATCAAGGCCAAAAAACGCGACTACTGGCGTCGGTTCGTCGAAGGGTTAACGCGAGAAACTTCCATGAAAACGCTCTGGAATGTCGGCAGGAGAATGCGTAACGCGCCATCGTCGGTCAATGAGGACAAGGAGTACTCTAACAGATGGATTTTTGATTTTGCGCGCAAAGTTTGCCCTGATTCGGTTCCGGTTTGAAACAACACTCGCGATACGTCGGTGGAAAAGAATAACATGGACTCCCCGTTCTCGATGCTTGAATTCTCAATTGCTCTTCTTTCATGCAACAACTCGGCTCCAGGAATGGATCGAATCAAGTTCAACTTGCTCAAGAACCTCCCAGACGTCACTAAGAGGCGCTTGTTGAACTTGTTCAATCAATTCTTGGACCACAACGTTGTTCCGGACGATTGGAGACAAGTGAGAGTTATAGCCATTCAGAAACCCGGTAAACCCGCGTCGGATCATAACTCGTACCGTCCCATCGCGATGCTGTCGTGCATTCGGAAATTGTTGGAGAAAATGATTCTTTTTCGTTTGGACAAGTGGGTCGAGGCGAATAGCTTACTCTCAGATACGCAATTTGGATTTCGAAGGGGCAAAGGAACGAACGACTGCCTTGCGTTGCTTTCAACTGAAATCCAATTAGCCTACGCTGAAAAACAGCAGATGGGTTCAGTTTTCTTGGACATTAAAGGGGCTTTTGATTCTGTTTGCATCGACATCCTTTCGGACAAACTCCATACCAGTGGGCTTTCACCAATTATCAATAATTTCTTGTACAATTTATTGTCCGAGAAACAAATGAGCTTCTCTCATGGCAACTCGGCAATTTCACGAATTAGCTACATGGGCCTCCCTCAGGGCTCATGTCTGAGTCCCCTTCTGTACAACTTCTATGTTAAAGACATTGACGATTGTCTTGCCGAAAATTGCACGCTAAGGCAGCTTGCAGATGACGGCGTGATCTCCGTTGTTGGGCCAAAAGCACCGGACCTGCAAGGACCATTGCAAGATACCTTGGACAATTTGTCTACATGGGCAATGAATCTGGGTATCGAATTCTCTCCGGAGAAAACTGAGATGGTTGTTTTTTCTAGGAAGCTTTATCCAGCACAGTTGCAGCTTCAACTTATGGGTAAAACAATCACTCACAGCATGTCTTTCAAGTATTTAGGTGTCTGGTTCGATTCTAAATGCACTTGGGGAAAACACGTTGCGTATCTGAGTCAGAGGTGCCAACAAAGAATCAATTTTCTTCGTTGTATTACCGGCACTTCGTGGGGAGCGCATCCGGAAGATCTGATAAGACTTTACAAAACCACCATTCTATCGGTTTTGGAGTATGGTAGCTTTTGCTTCCAATCGGCGGCGAACACCCACATCTTGAAGCTGCAACGGATTCAATATCGTTGTATACGAATCGCACTAGGTTGTATGCATTCGACGCATACAATGAGTCTGGAAGTACTTTCGGGCGTACTTCCCTTACCAGATCGATTCGCGGAATTGTCGTTGCGGTTCCTTATCCGCTGTGAAGTCATGAACCCGTAGGTGATCGAGAATTTTGAGAAGCTGCTTGAACGAAATCCGCAAGCAGAAAGAAGATTTACCAATATCCCTTTCCCTTTGCCCCCTCCCCTTTCCTCTAAATAAATGTATTTATTAATCTCGAGTAAACCGCGAGTATTCGGCCTCCATTCTACTAACCTTAGTTGTAAAAAAAAATTATAAAAAATTATATTTAAATTAATTTGGCTCCGCAAAGCTACCGCATTTGAGCCTTTACAAATAAATGGATTATAAAAAAAATCAATCGATGTTAATATTCAATGATAATTCTGATGGAATGTTTTCAAATGGCGTAAATGTGTTTTCAAGAACTTTTTATAAACCATAGTGCCAATATTCTCCACCAAGGTTGCAAAGACTCATTTCAGCTAAAATAATGTTTTTCGGAATAATAAAACCAAAAGATGGTATGATGACATGTTTTACTTGTAACTTACAAGAAGAGGTTACAAAGTATGCGTTGGAAACATAAAACCAGTAAATTTTGCTTTCTATGAGTCACAATCAGCGATTTGCTGATCGCTGAGTGAGTGAGTTTGTGAAAAATCGCTGATTGTGACTCTCATGAAGTGAAATAAACAGGTTTAATATGTCACATTCTTTGCAACCTCTTCTTGTATCCTACCAATTCAAAATTTGATCATGGCATCTAATTATTTCATAATTTAGAAAAACATTGTTTTAGCTGATGAGTCTTTGCAACCTTGTTCTCCACCAATATTTTTATCAGTCTTGATATTTGTATTCCGTGGTGTGCCTACCAACGTCCGTGTATCTTTTGGAAGAACATTATCCGGAATATAAGATTTCAGGATATTGAGCAATGCATTTATAGCCACATGCTTTATTTGAAAGGTTATAGCCCAATTCTTCACCTCTTCTCGAAAAGCCAACATATCTTGCTTTTCCGTAGCTTCATCAGCATCATCGTTGTCACTATCCACCTCATCCACATTGTTGCTACGTCCTTCGAAAATTTCAGCAAAATTCACAGATTGTTTCAGATTTGAGAAAATTTCTGGTAGATTATTACTATTCAATGTTGGAGATGTGCCAGATTCAATGTTTAATCCACAGTTTTCAATTGGATTGCATTTGTTTGTTTTAGACTTTTTGGCCTCTTGAATCATCGCTTTCTTTTTTTTTGTGAAATTACCATTACGTTTGATCTTTTTCCACAATTTCCTGTCTTTTTCATGAATAAATTTCATACGATCCATTATTGTTTGCCCGATGATAAATCAATTTTGTTACAAAACATAGTTTTAATATTTGTATAAAATAATTAAAACATAGTGGAATATTTGTTGCAAAAACGTTAACACCTGACTTTAATACTCCTAGTTCCTATGTAACTAATTATAAACTATATTTTGATTATAAAGTTCATGACAGTTTGAAAATAAGGTTACAACTTTATCACTAAGTAACCACTCAGCTGCTTTTTATAATTTCGGTTTCCAAATGACGAAAAGATAACTATATTTAATCTTGTGTAACCTGACATGTAACACGTGTCTTTAATGTGACTATTGTGCAACTTTTTATTTTTTTATATTTGCAACGCTAGTTACAAGTGCTACTTGGGTCTCTTTCTTATCTTATGCAATGTCACCCTTGCAGAAGATTTTTGTCATAACGATAATTTTTAAATTCTATTGCTTTACTTTGGTGCACATCTTTTGAATTTCACCCTTACTTATCTGTCACCTCTTGAGAAAAATTGCGACTTACCTGTTATTATTTTACAATTACAGTACTGGGTGTATCGCGGATATGAAGAAACAGCGATAGGAGATTTCGCGAAGTATCAGAACCCGGCTCGTCTGTCAATGATCCTGCGGAGAAATAAAACTAAAATTAAAATCACGTCAAAGAGGCTGCATTACAACCAAGTCGAAAATATTGTGCATTTTATAATTTTAATTTTTTACGATGTTGATGAAATGTTTTGTAGTAGGAATTCCTCGCGAAAACTTCATGAAGCGTTTCTAGACTTCATCAGCAGCATATAATCTTAAAAACTTTCCTTATAATGCATCTTTTGAATGTGCCCCAGTGCCAGATTTAGGATCCGGGGGCCCGGGGCAGTTATTTACCTTCGAAGTTTAAATTTTAAATGTGCGTTCATATTTTTCCTCATACCATCTTGATATGAAACAAATTAAATTTGGATGAAAACAATCATAAGAAAATCATGTGAATTCTACATTTCGCAAAAAAAATGAAAAATATTTTAATATTGTGATACGGGGGCAAATTGAGCACTGGGATAGAATTGGTTGGTTGGTGACATATATCAAAATAAATCTTGATAGCATCTCATTATGAGACTCCAATGGTAGCTTTAACTAGTTTCTCTTCGTAAAGAAGTAGATTTTTAAGCATAATTTTCAATATTGTGATGTTCAATAGCATTTAATATCAGTTTCAAACATATGAATCATATGCTTAGAACGTGTGTTGTTCTTAACTTGAAAGTAACATTTGAACTTGATAAAGATACATAGCGTATTATATATTTTTCACTGTAAAAAAGCGCCACTAAAACGCTACCACCATCTATTGAGTATACCCATGTCATGGGCAGTACGATCAACATATGGCGCTAGCGTGTAAACGTCAAACGCAAGGGAATTGACTATGCGCGCCTCAAGCGACGGTACTACCAACTAAGACATATTCAAATTGATCGTTAAATGCGTGTTTGATGAACAGTATGATAGCACTTTAGCTAAACATGTTTGAATTATTTCATGCGTGAAGTTAATGATTTACATAGATGGAGATGCCCCCTCCGCCACCACTGGCAAAATAGATGATGGTCGACTTGCTCATGAACCTACGATGTGCGGAAACAGTTCTAACGATTTTTTCACACTCAAGTCGCCATCTGACCGAACAAATAATTGAGAGCACCTATAAAACACCTGTGTTGATAGAAAAAAGTTAAATAATAGCTTTCAGAGTTGAACAATAATGTAGTTGTATCGCCATTTGGTTAAAAGCTTTAAAAACTGCATGGAGCGCTTGAGAATGATTGTTTGCGATCGGTTTAACATATGCTTCATAAGACTTATGATACCTTTTATAGCACCTAGCTTAAATCGACAAGCAGGTTTACAGCTTCACAATGAACAGTGCTTCCAGATAGATTTCTCGATTGCATTTTCGAGGGAGCGTGTCTGCTTTTGTGGGCAGTGCGTTTGTTGATCGGCACCGAAAATATCCCCTGTCTGATGGTGGTGTTGGCAAGCGTGGGTGGGATGCCGGTTGCGCCGGAATGGGGATCGGATGCATTGTTTGCGGGAGTGGATGCGTCCCTTCGGGGGAGCAATCGAGATTTATTTTCATCGTTCCCATTTGTCGGAGGGATGTCCTCGTTCGCATCAAGCATGTTCCTCGGGTTTTTACGATTAGGTGTCTACGAATAATCCATTATGATTTTTTTTTTTTCATTTTGAAGCATGATTCGTTACTTGACCGATTTTCTTTTCTTTTATTGTGTTGTTAGGTGTCATGAGGGCCGTGATTGAAGACTGACGGTAGTCACGGCGAGTCGTGTTTGATTGTGGGGTTTGGTGGTTTTGACGACGAAATATGAAGGAGAAAACAGTCATTTTTAAAACGTAAGAGTTCGGTCGAGATAGCTTAAAAGATGTGCAATATTTCTACACTGGTAAAATCATCAAGCGTGAAGTAAGGGGCACGGTAGCTCATAAATGTGAAAGTTTTATGGATTCTGTTCCCGTCTTACGTAAGGACCAAATCGAAACAACGATTCGCGTAAAAGTAAAATTTAATTAAGGCATAAGTGATGTCCTATTACTACTCGATTATCCGAGCTAATCGATTATCTGTTAAAATAATCGATTAATTTTTAATCGATTATTCAATGCCTCGAATATCTGATAATCGATTAATTGGCTTCGATTAATGGACGATTATTTAAATTTTCATTGGAAATAGGAGTAGAATTTATTTTAGTGTGTATAGAGTTTAACTATTCTGTTTGTATTACTACATACGTGAAGTTAACGATTTACATAATTGAAGATATTAAGCGTCAAATAATAAGTCTGTTATTAAGTGGTCATATTTATGCAATAGATGAGGAGATGAATGTACAGAGTTGATAATTCCGTTAGGTACGGCAGTGTGAAATTGTATATAGAGAAAAGAAAGCGAGCAAGGACAACTTTTAGGAAGGTACAAATCGGGTTGATCATCTCTCTTTACTAAACTCCCCAGTTGGAGAGGGATGGTGAGGGATGTCCCCCCCCCGTCACCACTGGCAAAAAGAGATAATCATCCATTTGCTCATGTACCTACGAAGTGTGGAAACAGTTCTATCGATTGTACCGCACTCAAGTCGTTATCTGAAGGGAGGCATGTAGTCGTAGGCTTGGAAATTGCAGTTGTTGTTGTCTCTACCACTGTACGTGCTCCTGTCATCGCCATCTATCGTATAAAAATTACCACTTTAAGTCAATTGACGCTTAGCATCTTTAACTATGTATGTAGAACTTGCCACCAAGCCAACAGAGCACCGATTAAAATATTTTCCATCCCAACTTGAAGTTCAGAACGTCTATTTTCTAAAGCAGGTCAGACAATAACAAAGTTCAGAAACCGTTTGTCTGGCCCTCATCTCAACATGATACTATTTCTGGTTATACTATTGGAGAAGTTGTTTGTTTCGAGTAGTGTTTTTTTTTTCTTCAGGCAATGAGATTGCAGTCCAAAGTCAAAATCAATTCGTTTCATAGATGCAAGTTGTCTTTTCTCTCACTATTAATCGAATAAAAACGTTAATAAGAATTAAAGAGTAAAAGTGTATTTTATTGAATTGTTATTAGGAGAATGGATGTAATGTCGGCCTAAATGCCCCTAATTTGGACTCATACATAAATTCAAAAATCGACTAAATTTTCAATAGTGACTAAAAATAACAATAAGAGAGCATCCATAAATGACGTAGCATATTTTTGATCAATTTTAGACCTTTCCTTCCCCCCCCCCCCTCGTAGCATATTTTGCTATATCCAATACATGGCCTGTCACAAATTCTGAAACCCCCACCTCCCCCCTTAAATGCTACGTCATTTATGCATGTTCCCTTAATACTGTCCCTATCACGCGTTCATCTAGATAAAATTGATAAATAGCAGATTTTTAGCGATGGGCCGAATCTTAGATCCATAGACCAACATTAGAGCCATTTCCCGTATCTCGAAAAAATGATTTACCAATGATCCACAGATGAATAATCAACATCTGGTTAAAACACTTTATTAAAGACGTTGGTTTTCATTATTATCAGAGACTATTTAAATTAATCGATTATTTCGATTAATCAATTATTTCATGGCGATTAATCGATGTCGATTACTATTATTAAAATATGTAATCGATTAGTAAACAATCGATTAGTAGGGAAAATCGGACATCACTAGGCATAAGCACTTTTTTGTCTCCATGTTTAAAAGATAATCGGTAGTAGAGGCTTATTCTTGTGCATGAAAACTGTCAACTGTTCAAATAACCTCGATTTTACTGACTATTGATTCATTATTAAAGTTTACCAATATTTTTAGAAGCATTCCATATTGTGTTAAACCATTCCATGATGCAGAATAAAGTTTTTGTTTCAATTTCAATAAAATATCAAAAGTTGAAATCAGTATTGAGGTGAACTGAAATTGAGCTTATTTGTATTTTATAATACTTGTTTAATTTACATTCTTTATATTCTATATAAGAAAAATAATTCATTGTCATGCAATATAGACAATGAATTATTTTTCTTCACATATTTAAAATCTCATTATATCATTATAACTATAATTTTCATTTATAGAAAATAGTTCTCCTGCAGATCCTGAAGGATCAGAAGGTGTATCAAATAGCATATCATTGTTATTTACATTTTATTTTATTTTAATATAATATGATCTATGGTTTTCAGAATTTGCATTACCCAGAGAATAAATTGGATATCATCATTCATTAGGTCAATGTTTTAAAATTGTTTTACCTTTGCAGAGTTTTGTTATTTCAAGAATTATTCATGGACACTTGTTTTAATAACCCTTGTTTGCTCACATAACATCGATTATTTAGCAAATTGATTCTTTACTTGAATTGTGTATTCATTAAATAGGTAAAGTTGAGTAACTCCTCCCTTTCGTTCGGAAATCAATTCAGCTTATCGTTTACCAAAACGAACCCTGCTGCAAACCCAAACCTTGTGGCATAATTACGTTGAATTCTTCAAACGACCATCTATCCTTCTCCCATGCAACATTGTTGCATAATGTTTTCATTTTCAACAAACCTTATTTCAAATCCTGCTTAACTGACAAAACTTAAGTATGTCAGCTAAAATATTTACCAAACACTTCAGAAACGCGTAACATACAAATATCGATACCATTTCCTTAAACCCATAAAACCTAAACACCGACGACTCAACATTCTTCTGCATTAATCAACATCTTGGTAAAAGTTGAACGATGCCTTGATTTATTTTCCATTTACTAACCGAAAACTAGGAAACATGTCCAAGTAAACATTGCTGCTACGTTCCATCGTTATTGCTGCGTGCGCACCGATGCAATGTACCATCAATGTAAGTGGTTCATAAACACTTGAACCTCGCCACTTGCTTTAAATTCAATTATTGTTTTATACCGATGAAAGTTTGTAAATATCCCAAGGCTTCTACCAAAAATGCTGAACAATGAATAATGCTCCAGAATTCTCTGTTTGGATTTACATACTCACTCTTACTAACCATTATTTCTTAAGTTAATAAAAACCCTTTTCCGAACCTAATAAACGAACACTTCGTATTCATTTTTCAATCGTGTACCACACGACTTTTGCCTTCTCCCGAAAATCCCAACACTCTCTTACTCAACATCCCAGTGATTCTTAGTGGAAGTGCAGAGGATTTTTCGGCTTCCATCAAAGCGAGTGTCGCGTCAACACATTCCTACCTATTCCTTTCTTGACCTGCGTTCGGGCGCGGTCGGCGCTGGTATTGCCTAGTTTGAGATCACCAGTTTTTACACATTGATGATGATTGCTAGTCCCAAGCATCGTCTATTGGTTCTCTGTGTAAGTACAGCTGATCTGGCAGTAACAGAGTAGCAACCGTGGGCGTTCAATCATGCTGATGCTCATGCTCATGCTCACAACGAACAGTGCTTCCAGATATGTTTGCAAAGCATTTATTCAATTATTGTAAAGCTGTTTTCAATTTTGATGAGGTTGACTTATAGAACTTTGTTTCAGAGAAGAGAAGTTACTCAAGATGAGCTTCATATATTTCTCTGATATGATCAAAATATGTAATCAAGAATAAAACAGACGGAAAAAGAAGTGGCTGGCAATCCAGGATCAGTAGTTCGAATCTTGCTTCAAAAAACACTCGCACAGTTCGAAAAAGTAGTGTAAATTTGTGTTTAATATGATGCACATAAATGGAGCGTCACATATCATATACGTTTACATTATATATCATGTAAAGTTCTGACACATTTCGTGCAATGTAGCAAATATTGTATACAAAAGCCCATCTTTGTAAACAACATTGTTTGCAAGTTGCTCGGTTGCGTGAAATGAAATACAAGTCTAGGTGAATGAATGTTTACATCACAATTAAAATTCAGAACTTTTATCTGTGCGGTGTAGTAGAGGTAAATTAGATATACTGCCCATAATCGCATATCAGTCCCATATGGATAGGCAATCAAGCAAAGTTGGGACTGATATGCGAATATGGGTAGTATAGGAGTTGTTAATAAATGCAAACTTTAATTTAAGATGTATGTAATATAATCAAAAATTTAATTTCTAGATAAGTTCTTTAAATTAATCATTATCATTGATCATCTCCTTCACCGTCCTTCCCCAACGAAGGAGTTTGGTGAAGGAGATGATCAACCCGATTCGTACAATCCTCAAAATTGACCTTTGCTCGCTTTCTACTCTCTATATACAATTTCCACACTGCCATACTATTCTAACGGAACAATCAACTCTATACTTTTATCGTCTCGTATATCGTTTAAAATAATCACTTTAACTCTGATAGTGCTATGGCTGTTTGTCGCTGGTAAAATGTTTCCAATGTTATAAATTAATGATTTTCTGCTAAATTACCAGTGATATAAAAACATGGTATTCAATTTAGAGTTGCGATTTCAATGCTACATAGGAACAATACAAATCAGTAAAACGAATTGGAAACATCCATGATGCATTGTTGTCTAGGTGATGAAACTGAAACTCGGCGGTATTGATGATAGAAGAGCATAGCAGAAATAGTGCGAAAATGGTTAGTGAAGCCATGGTCATCAGAAAAGGAAATCGATGAAGAAAATTGACTTTCACCCCTCTGCTTCTAATAACATCCGACATTACATCCATTTCCCCTATATAAGACCACGTAATCCTACGTCATCATTTCGTTCAACCCCATAGGGCTGTCCCTCGTTGTTTTTTTTTTCCCCATTTTAAAGTAAGGAGTTAGCATAAAACCAAATACATCATATCTAAAAGTACGGCAACTTTGCCATAATCCAAGCGACAGATACAGTAGCGCTGCACTTGAGCGAAGGTGGAAGCAACGCATAGAAAAAAGCAAATACCCAAAACCGTTCTTCTGAGGACGTAATCTTTGCTATAAAATTCGTTCGCAGCATTTACCTTTAAGCGTCAGATGACGCAATTGTACCTGTCTTATAGCGGTCGTACGAGAAAATTGAAGAGTTGGCAGTCTTCTTGATGTGTTGTCTTATATAAAACACAAAATGGCAACTATTTTTTCCCGGTGACTTAACAAAAGAATACAAATTCGCTAAGTTGCTTTCGAATGTTATGATGTCGTCACCAGCATCCCCTGCAATATTAGTTCGACTTGGTCGCTGCCCAACTCAAACCCACACGTGACACGCGCAGATTGGGGAGCGCATGGTGCTTGGAAGGGTCACGAGGAACGCTTGTTGGACCAAATATCCTATTCAATGTTTTACCTTTACATTAGCCTCTGGGCTTCACTTTTTTAGTTCTTATGAGCACTGAGCTTCACAGTTAGTATTCAGTCTAACTATCTGGCTATACATTATATAATTTGGTTTAGAAAACTAACGAAAATCGCATTACTCACCTTTATAAAACAAAGTTAGCTATCACGCGTTTTATCACTTCAAGACTAATATAGAAAAGCACACTCGGTATGAACAATATAGCACACTTGGGTATAATTTTGACTTGACAATTAGGCTTGACGATCTAATCACTCGCACAGGTCTAACAGGAATAACCCTGACTCATATGATAATATCGTTTGCCACTTCGTATACGAGAAATAAATTCATAACTCTTATCAATTCCAACGTGTCCTGCTCTGATTGGTCAAACCAACACCAACCGAGGTTGCGTTTCACAATGTTTAGTAAAAGATAAAAATGAAATCGAAGGCTACCACCTTGAAAAAGAAGTACGATCCGAGGCTACTGTACGGGAGCTACACACTTAGAAAAATTGATTTAAATTTAGGCACTCTGAGACTGACATACAAGAGCGTCAATTTTGACATAAAATTGGTCGCTGCCCAACTCAAACCCACACGTGACACGCGCAGATTGGGGAGCGCATGGTGCTTGGAAGGGTCACGAGGATAGTGCTTGCATCGATATCGAGTATTCTTAGGAACACTTGTTGGGCCAAATATCCTACTCAATGTTTTACCTTTACATAAGCCTCTGGGCTTCACTTTTTTTAGTTCTTAGGGACACTGAGCTACACAGTTAGTATTCAGTCTAACTATCTGGCTATACTTTATATAATTAGGTTTAGAAAACTAACGAAAATCGCATTACTCACCTTCATAAAACAAAGTTAGCTATCACGCGTTTTATCACTTCAAGACTAATATAGAAAAGCACACTCGGTATGAACAATATAGCACACTTGGGTATAATTTTGACTTGACAATTAGGCTTGACGATCTAATCACTCGCACAGGTCTAACAGGAATAACCCTGACTCATATGATAATATCGTTTGCCACTTCGTATACGAGAAATAAATTCATAACTCTTATCAATTCCAACGTGTCCTGCTCTGATTGGTCAAACCAACACCAACCGAGGTTGCGTTTCACAATGTTTAGTAAAAGATAAAAATGAAATCGAAGGCTACCACCTTGAAAAAGAAGTACGATCCGAGGCTACTGTACGGGAGCTACACACTTAGAAAAATTGATTTAAATTTAGGCACTCTGAGACTGACATACAAGAGCGTCAATTTTGACATAAAATTGGTCGCTGCCCAACTCAAACCCACACGTGACACGCGCAGATTGGGGAGCGCATGGTGCTTGGAAGGGTCACGAGGATAGTGCTTGCATCGATATCGAGTATTCTTAGGAACACTTGTTGGGCCAAATATCCTACTCAATGTTTTACCTTTACATAAGCCTCTGGGCTTCACTTTTTTTAGTTCTTAGGGACACTGAGCTACACAGTTAGTATTCAGTCTAACTATCTGGCTATACTTTATATAATTAGGTTTAGAAAACTAACGAAAATCGCATTACTCACCTTCATAAAACAAAGTTAGCTATCACGCGTTTTATCACTTCAAGACTAATATAGAAAAGCACACTCGGTATGAACAATATAGCACACTTGGGTATAATTTTGACTTGACAATTAGGCTTGACGATCTAATCACTCGCACAGGTCTAACAGGAATAACCCTGACTCATATGATAATATCGTTTGCCACTTCGTATACGAGAAATAAATTCATAACTCTTATCAATTCCAACGTGTCCTGCTCTGATTGGTCAAACCAACACCAACCGAGGTTGCGTTTCACAATGTTTAGTTAAAGATAAAAATTAAATCGAAGGTTATCACCTTAAAACATATAGTGCTTTCCCGATTTTGTCAGCTTCTGATTTTTCTACTCACGATTTTGTTAGCTTTTTGTCCGATTTTGTCAGCGTGCAGATTTAACTAAGCTTTTTAGTTTTTAAACATGTATTGTCAATCTTTTCTCTTCGAATGACCTTTACTCCTATCCTTAGTTGAAATTGGGGTAAAGTGAACAATTGACGATTTTAAGTGCTTATTTATTCAAATATCAATCAATTCAACGCACAGGCATACACAATTCTAACCAGGTATACAGCTAGTAGAGGCCTGCAAAAAGACACATTAGTGGGTTTTTTGATTATTTTAGTCTATCGGAGAGTATTTACTCATAAACTTGTTTCTCTTCCACAGCGCCTAGATTGAACCGAGCAAGTCTGACTGCCGCCAAATCGGAGAATTAATTGTTTGCTATTTAATATACAATCACAAACGGCGCCGGTAGTGTAGTGGTATGAGTGATTGCCTCTCACCCCGGCAGGCCTGGGTTCAATCCCAGTCGGCGCCGCCGGGATGTTCTGAGGCATAGCATCTCTGATCACGCCCTCCTTCGGATGGGAAGTAAAGCCGTTGGTCCCCGGTTCATGAGTTGATGGGTCGATAGGTAGGGTCCAGGTGTGGGAGCTGCCTTCCTGGCACGTCGGTAGCATTGGTGCTCAGCACGGAAAACAAGATCGACGGAAAAAACAAACCAAAGGAAAAAAAAAATAACTTGAGAACGGCTGGAGTAAGAAAAAACAATTATTGAGCTAAATTTATCAAAAAATATGCGTAGAATCGTAGGATCCAATGTTATTACTTTACTAAGAAATATGCAATTTCGTTATATCTTCAATCTACCAATAAAAATTTAATAAATTATAGAATTTTGTGGAAATCAGATTCCAGGTTACATCTCTTACCAAATGTTAGGGCATTTCTTTCGCTTTCTTTACAAAAACAAATAAATAAAAATCGAAGAGGGAAATTTTGAGTAAAACAACGTTTATGTTTTTCACTATGAATTTACTGAGTTTTTGTTTCAGTGTAGTTTTTCTCAAAGAACTTTTAATTAATTTCAACTTTTTAACAGCTGAAATTTTGATCAGATCAATTATTTTCATGTAATGATTTATTGAAAAAATATAATCAATTTATACGTATTCAAAGCCTTTTTTTAAAGTTACCCTTGAGAAAAAAAATCATTTTTAAATGAAAATGCCACCATTGATAACAGCGAATACATGGACACTTTCAAATCTTCATTATGTCGAAAGTAACATTCGTACCGATCCGAGAAAATAAAGTTTTGGTTTAATGACCGAAAAGCTATTCCTATTTCCAATTAAACACATATAATCTCATAGTGATAGCAATGTTTAACATATTAAGCAGGGTTTTAACCATACAAAGCACTAGCGATCTGCTTTGTATGATTAAAACCTTACTTAATATGTTTCATGCTCAAAAATACTGGTTTTTGAGTCAAGAATTATTGTACGTCGTTTGGTGGCTCCTAGTGTTACTTAACGTGTATTTACCAGGATATTCGGGAGAATAATCAATCACGTCTCCTTATGTGCAGTCCTTTCATCATTTGAGGACCACCGAAATCATCTTAGCAACAAACAGTTCGATTTATTCACTTTAATAATGAGAAAGCGAAACGACGAACATACACTTTTCACGGGTTTCTCTGCGCTGTTAGTTAAGGCAAACGGCATCTCCATAGAAATCGGGTGACTTAAGTAACATTGAAAAATATTTTGATCGGAAGGTGATTACGTCAAAAAGCAATTTGACTGGTAAATAAATTTAAAAGTACGATGTGATCCTATATTTCAACAGTGTAATAGCAGGAGCCTTGGAACTGATAGCTTGACTTTGTTTACCTTTGTTACTTCCGACGTAATGAAAATTTGCTCCTGATATGAGGAACTTCATGCAAAATAACTGGCTAAAAAGTTACATATAGTAGACAAATTTTTTTGTGTTGCCTCAGTTGTATAACTGGTATAGTTGGCCATCGATCTGCCAAAATCAAATTTTCATGATATCGACACTGAGCGTTCACAAGGACCAATGTCGAAAACGTAAACAATGGCTTCTATCGTAAATGTCTCGTAGTTAAAAGTCAATCCATGTAAGTCACCAATTCTCTCGGATAGGGGGACTCGGTGGTTTACTTGAATGGTTTTTCATTCTAGAGAAATTCGTGGAACAAGTCATTGTTTACGTTTGCGACATTGGCTCTTATGACAGAGAAGCAGAATATGGTTGCATGCTCAGTAAGCATTGACGTTTTTCGATGCCAATTCCATCGTCGAAACATTTCATAGCTGCACCAACAGCGGTTTCTAGCTGAATTACTCGCATGCCGTTGTCCAAAGTTTTATTATTAACGATAATTTCCATGTGCATTGTGCGTGCATCCAAAACTCGTTCAATCGACTCCAGGCGTGCCCAAATGTTGTTTGTGTTGAAAAACTTTAACGTTTTTACCGATTTGAAGTCGTCCACATGTTCCTTGGGAACCTGAGCAATTTCCAGCAATCGTAGCTTATTTTCGTATTGAATCAGAGTACCACCCTTGACGTCAGCGCGTGTTTTATCGGTGACCTCCATGACGAATTCTATTGGTTTGTCCGCTTGGCGGTCGTCGCCCAGCAATCGATTCAAAATATTAATATCGACCGTTGTACCTAAATTGTCGATATTGGACAGGAAGAGGTATTCACGTCCTTCATCTAGGAACTTTTCAGCAATCCAGAGTTCTGGAATGATTGGTAGAAATCACCGTGACCCGGTGGATACCACGCTTCGATATCGTTTTCAATATTGAAATCCTTGGCAACTGGCAGCAGTGAATCGCGGCTGACGCGAGGATAACAGCTTTGATTGAATGTGTAGATCTTAACCTGGAACCGCTTGTACTTGCGAATGACCTTTTCCGTATCCTCGTCGGTATTGAACGGATTCATCAACACCAGTGATACGTTGGCTCCATATTTTTTGTTCAAATGCTCTATTTGCTGCACAGTTAAATCGAGGAATGTTAGATCGTTACGAACAGGGATTACACTCTTTGGTCCGTTCAAACAACCATTCAGTTTTACGACGACCAGTCTATTCAGCATTTTGCAAATCTCCGATTCTTGTGGAGTTTTGAGACTGGAGTAATCTTTTACAGCATCCTCCAGTAGCTTTTGGATACGGTCCCACTCAACCGAGGGACCATCTTCCTGCCAGAACCGATGAAAGAGTGCTTCGAACCCGCACATTTCTTTCTGCAGAATTGACTTCCTGACATCGTCGGCAGTCTGAAGCAGATTGTCCAGATCCTTGCGCAAACGAATCAACGCATCGCGCTTGGTAGCCTCGTGGAATTCCTTGGAGTCTGACGGGACACGTTGGTGTACACGGACCTTCTGTTCATTTGCAACTGCTAACATTTCGCCTTTGCACCGTAAACTTCCTGACGTGTACGAATTTAGTTGTCTCAGTCGGATGTCGGATGACAACTTATAATAAGTAATTTACGTAAAAAGAAGCGTGAAGCAAGGGATATGCGAGTAAATC